TTTTTTTTTTGGTAAGTGTTCCAGGGCGCTCGCAACTGCATAAGGTCATATAAGCGCGCGGGGCACAATAAACATTTTCAGTGGGTAGGAAATTTTGAATTTTGCACAGGTGGCAGCTGAAGCCTTCTCTTATCGATTTTAGACCACCAAAGGATCTTTGACAAGCACAACTTGCACATGAGACTGAGATTTTTCGCTTTTTTCCGAGAAGGTTAGGTGTAGATCGTTCCTACCATAAGACCAGGGGTGTGGCTGAAAGACAGCTGTAAGAAGGAGCCAAGGAGTAGCAGTAGAAAGGCTGCAGAAAGAGTCAGGAGCCCAGAAGACGGGGCAAAAGAGGTGAGGATGGGGGCAAAAGAGGAGAGAGGGTGGGGGCAGAAAGTGGACATGAAAACAGACGACAGAACATAGCCAGAGAGCAGGAGAGGAGGAGAAAGGATACAATTTTAGAGAAGAAAATGTATCCGTCGCTACCCGAGTTCTAACCCGTGACCTTTGAATGAGAGGTGAACACCTTAACCTCTAGGACATGAGAGCCCCCATACAGATTCTATAAAGAAGCAAAATGTCTGGAGTATCGCATCCATTATTAACAATATTCTTGTTACTTCAGAAAAGTAATCATGTCACAAAGAAAAGGAATAAACATTCAGATGAACTTAACAATAATAATAATAATATTAATAACAATGATAGCAATAATAGCAATAATAATAATAATGACAACAATAATAAAAATAACGATAATTATTATAATAATAATAACAATATTGGTTTTTCTATTTTACCAGCCCTCCAGAATCCAAAGTCAAGTCCCTTCACAATAAAAACAAAATAGCCTGGACGATAAAAACTTACCACCCCTATGACCATAAGGAAGAAGCGAGAGTCACAAGGCTGGTAGCCTGCTGGGAGGCTGGTCACATCTTGCTCTGACCGAGATTTCAGCTCTTGCCAAACCATCACCTGGTCGACATGTTGCCGTGACGACAAAATGAGGAGGCCATGGCAGTTGAGGTATAAATTGACATCCCTTTGTAAGTCTTCCGCAAGATGGCTGCACACGAGGTAGTCCTTAAAGAGAGGAAATTTTTAGAATAGACAGATAAGAAATGGGCATGAGCAAAAAGCATACAACAAACAGGATGAAGAGATAACACGGGCATATGAGCTTGTGAGAATGAGGCGTGAATACAAAAGTGTATTTGTGTTGAGTAAATGTGTGAGTGAGGGTGGGGTAGGGGGGAACCTGGGGTAAGAACAATACTGCCCTTGAAGACCTGTTTTGTCAAGAAGTTTATGAATACAGACATAAATTTAATGTGAATCATTCTCTGTCTAAAGGGATATACCTTATGATGCTATAAGAAAGGGTAAGAAAATTGAGCCTGTGATGAATAGTCAGTACTACATTTGACCAAGTACAGTTTTGAGTCTACATTTCTCTACTTTGACAAAATATTACTGTCCAGTTAAGAACAAATCAAGTCCAATCTTATAGGGGGGAATTGAGGACAAAATAACTGAAATTAATATAATGTTTCTTACTGTTTACCTTGTAGAAACGTCAGTAACATAATTTCAAGCCAGAAATTTTTACAAACTCACTTTGTAAAACAGACATGTCCCGTTTACGGTGTACTTCCGTCGTGCAAACAGATCTTTCTGTTCCTACAAAAACAAAATAAAGAATAAAAAAAAAAATATATATGTTGAAAATCATTTTCTCATAGTTATTCATTGTGCAGACTTTATTTTAAAAACCAACATAAACCACTTTATCCCAAAATATAAACATATAAACTATGTTTGCTATTAGAAAATGTACAAGTATATAAAACAGAAAAGCCTGAACGGAATACATGATTCAATTAAATCAAACTTTACTTAAGGTATTTGAACACGTAACAGTCTAAGAATAAAACAATTAATTTAATATAAGTTGACAGTACAAGTCCAAAGTTGAATCTTTAGGAAATAAAACAGACAAATTCGCATAATGGAAAGAAATAAAGTACAACACAAATTTTACAGTGTGCATAGTAAAACAAAAAGAATCAAAAGTAAGGTATACTTTGTTAGTTCAAGTTTTCCTTTGCAGAAATGCAATATTAAATTACAAAATACAATTCATGAAGCAAATCTGATTGATATAACAACATGAGGGAAAGGAATACCAACGTCAATTTTTCAAACCATAATATACTTACCAAATAATCATCAAAATCCATTGACTCTGTCTCGCTCAGAATCTCATCACATATCAGCTAAACAGGTGGGAAAGATAAAAAAGAAAACAATATAACTATATTTAGCACATAAAAAATACAAAATTAATAAGAATATAAAACCAGAAATGAAAGAACAAACGATAGGATATTGACATTTGCTGATTAATTTTAAAAAAACAATATCATGAAAGACAGCAACAGACCCGGGAAAATCAAATTAAATGTGTCATCCGATTACTTCAGATCAGAAAAAAAAAATGATAAGTCCAGAATGTAAAGAGAAAATGAATTTCATCTATTTGTAAACCCCAGTCTTGAAAGAGATGAATCATCAGTAACGATAAAGACATAGGGAGCAGTTACAACCGAAACTACAAATTCATTTTTGGTAACTAGGTTTAGGTCTCCACAAAAATTTGGAATGAAATATAGAATCTCTGAACTTTTCCTCAAAGCAACAGGTATGAAATACAAATATCGAGTTCACATTGTCATGAATATCATACTAAGTTTATGAATACAGCAACAATGATTGAAGAACCTATTACAACATGCATGAAATAAAGATGTGAAGCCCAAATTTTGACTTAATATACCATGCCTTATTTTCAGACAAAGCAATGACATTATAATATCACAAACAGGTATGATCACATAGAGCCTATATGGCATAATAAATCTAACCTTATTTTCCGAAGACAGCTGCAACGACTTCACAACATGGCAAGGGGTGATGGCTGTCTCCGAAAGAGGAAGCAGGGGAAGTGGGGCCAGAGCAGACTGAAGACCCAGGGACTGGTGAAATACAACAGCCAACAGTTTGTCTAGCCAGGTCCTCTCACATTCGTTGAACGCCCTGCAGGGAATTAAAAAGAGTAGCAGTTCTCCCATTTAATGTATGTGGCCACCCTTTAAGATGTAAAAAATTACAGAGAGAAAAGAAACATAGCTACAGACAAAAACTAGAAAGAATATAAAGAAAGAGTCACAGACAGAACAACGGAGAGTTTTTCAACAATCATTCATACATTGCATTTTTGTTTGTAGGTGCCGGGTGCACGATGTCAAGGTGTCTTTCTTCTGAGAAATAAAAAGTTAATCTTACCCTAAAAATACCCCATTCACAAACATTACAAGCTTCCAAGTGAACATATAAAAATAAAGGATATGTCATAAAAATAAAAGCATTCAACATGTAACTTCACTCAAAATGCCAATTCCATGATGTCTTTTCTTTTTCTAAGTAAAGCATCAAATAATTTGTGCCCCACTCTAAAGAAGAATTGACAAAATAAAACTCTGTCATGCTTTTTTACTTCTACTTTTAACAAACTTTTTATCAGAAAAACAATTGCAAAGAAGAGATTTTAAAGTCAAGAAACATATTTTTCACAACATTATCTGTTTTCCTTACCGTTTCAGGTCGGAATGTAGAAGAACTAGTAAAGAGTAAAGACCATCCATAACATTTGACAATGCTCCTAATGATATTCTGAAAGAGACATAAGATAAAATCATTGTAATTTTAAAAGAAAAGTGGGGATACAAAGCAAAACTCATCACTGAATTTATAAGCCAAAACAAGGTGGTCATAATAGAAGAGCATGTTTTTTCTTTAAACCTTTAAATAAAAAAAACCCCAAAACAACAACAACAACAACCAAAAAAAACCCTTTGCAGACTGGTTTGACTTTACGCAAAAAGTTATAAAACTTAGGCACCACATTAATCAAATGCTTAACTTTAACTAAAAGTGTACTACATAAATTTAAATCCCATAGATTTATGTCACCTCAATAATAACATAAACATTCTTCAAAAATACTCGGTCCTCTCATATTCTCTCTTAGAAATACAAAGCCCAAATAATTTTGGGTTTTTTTTTAAAAGCAAGACTCACATCAGAGAACAGTTGATTCTCAGTCAAATCAGAATATATTTTCAATTTATCACAGTAGTAATTAATAATGATATAATTAATAATAATAAAAAGATGTTATTGTTACATACACTTGAAAAAAAATAATTTGAAGCAAATCTAATACTCTGAGAATTGAGAAATAAACCTAAAATAACACAACAATATTTAACATAATAACTGATAATACATCTATGCTCCTGCAGACTAGTAGACACTTCTACTCAAATAAAGAAGTAGTTTCTCACCGGTCCTCTGGCATGGCAAGAACAAAGACATCTTTCCCACATTGTCGATACACTACATTCACAGTGCCATTATTGACTTCCAGACGTGAACTGAAAATATTAAAAAACCAACAGGTAAAATAGACAAGTTGTTTAAATCATAATAAAGAATATCAGCTATCAGCCAAACCCTGTCTGTGGTATAGGATAACCTATTACAAGTCATCAATGTAAACATAGAGACAATTAGGTTCATAGGTCATTTTATACAAAAAGAGAAGGATTGTTCAGTCAACTTATATCAACTCTCAATACTTCAGACGTAAAACTAAATACAAATGATAATGCCTCTCATAAAACCAGTGATGCTGTACAGATAGCATCATGTTATGGACGTAATTACAATAGTAATAATTGCATTTACATAGTGCTAATCCACGTTCTATGTGCTTTACAACCATTATTACCCTAGCAGACCCTAGAACGTTCAGAAACATTCTTGATTTTACGGGAAGCATTCAGAGCAAGCTGCAGATTGCATGTGCACACATACTAACAAAAGGACAAGAATCTTTCAGCATCTACAGCCGGGTACCCAGTCCCACCTGGGCGAAGTGAGGAAAATTCGTGTAAAGTGCCTTTCCCAAGGACATAACGTCGGGATCCGGACCGGATTTGAACCCATGACCTTATGATTGCGAGTCCGAGAGCCTAACCACTAGGCCACTGACACCACATAAGGTGCAAGGAAACAAATGAACTATGCTCATGATACACATCAGACAAAGTGTCACCTAATCCTAGTGCTGCTTAAGTACATCTATAAATACCTTTCTTCCAATGTATCTGCAAAACACTTCAAAACAGTTGTGATAACATGAGAAGCAACTTTACAGTCAAAGAAACTGCACTGCAGTAAGATTTTGACAAGAGGAGGTACAAAAAATTAGCTACCCAAGTACAAAGATCTTCCAAAACAAAAAAGAGAAAAACTCTTACCAAGCGGCTGGTTGTCCAACAACATCCACAAGTGAGGAACTAAGAGTGATGAACAGGCCTCTCAAAGATAGAAGTCTCTCTTCACCCGGTGGAAATGCGTAGATTATGTCCTCCTATTGGAACAAAAGTCATATTTGAGAGACAATTTAATCAAAATATGGACATTAACCTAAACCTCTTACAACCAAAACAAAAGCGCTGATAAAAAATAACTGTCCTGTAAGTTCTGCAAGAAAGTAGAAAACAATATGACATGCAAAACTGGAGCAAAAAAGATAATATAATCACATGCACATGACATGAAAACAAAATAATTTGAAGAAATTAAAAAACTTTAAAAATTAAGAAAAAAACTTGAAAAAGAAACAGCATTTACAATAGTAACTAAACAAAGCAAAGCCCACTAAATGTGGCAACGATACTATCAGTGTGAGCGCTTGAACTGAGACCAGTCAGTGAAAAAGAAAAATGACTCAAATATTCTAAAAAGGAAAATATGGAATAAAACAAAGCACAGCACATAAATATGGTATCTTTTCCCTAATCATGGTGAAAAGTGGCCAATATCGTATGAACTTGCTTAAAAACCTGGATTCAGAAACTAAATTCTTATCATAATACCATTTCATTAGATTCCGCTTCACTGGGCACCAGAGTGAGAAACATGGCTGCACAGTTTAGTTGTGACAACTCTGACTGTATGTGTGACAGCCTCTTCCCTAGCACAGCTAGACAGAGATCTGCTTCTGGCACTTGGAGAACACTGTAGGAAGACTTGGGACCAACGATTCGAGGTGACTGAAAAGTAAGTTTCACCCTCTGAAACAAAAAGATGGACGCATAATTATGGAGACCTGGAGAATAACAGGGAAGGTAATGGAAAATATTTAAACTGCTGTTAACAATTCAACGCATTTTCTAGCTCAAATGGCAAGATAAATGACAAAATATGGCCAAAAACTGATCACGAGTCAGAGGAGAAAAAGATCCGAAGGTACAAGTGATGAAAAAACTGTTATAAGCAGGGATGTTAATGCTATGCCCCATGTTCTGAAATTTGGGAATTAATTTCTGGTTAACCTTTTTTGTAGATACGATGGGAGAAAAACAGTTCCCCGAACAACCCAAATTCAGAAAAGCCCTTGCATGTCTGAAAAGCCATACCGCTATCTCACACCCCAACAGACTGAGCAAACTATATTATGGCATATGAAAAATGCCACTGGATTAATGTGTTGGATCAAACTTAACGTTATATTGTATAACATGTAAATGAAGGGTAGAAGGGAAAAACAAGAGATGTCAGTTTTTGGACAATTTGAGTTGTGACGAGGGCTGGACAGTATTTACTCATCCAGGATTAAAACTTGATGGGTTGCCCAATATCTGGTTTGGAAAATAAGCTCATCCATGAAAAAACATGGGATGTCAAGTACAGTCGAACCTGCCCTGACGGCCACCTCTATAAGACGACCACCTGTACAAACGGACACTTTCCATTTCCCCCCTTGCGTTTTTTCTATATAATTTAACTGTGTAAAACGGGCACCTGTCCAACGCGGCCGCGGCCACCATATTTCAACACACAACCCCTATCACACAAAGCAAAAACACCTGTCTTAGACGGCCACCTTAGTGACTCCATTACGCTTTGTCATAAATTGTGCATTGGCCCCTGGCGTTGTGGGCGAGCCGTCATAATCTAAAAACCTGTCGTTGTTAGGTAGTCCCTCCAACTGATCATGTTGCGTAGGCCCCTCCCACTGTTGACCAATAGGTAACAAAATAAATTTTCAACTGCTGGTGAGGTAAGCGTGTGATCCCTCATAACCCATAAGCCGCGCCCAGAACTCATACACAAATCGTTAGTGACATGAGTGGTCACTGTTTACCCAGTCAGTAACAAAGTAACAAAGGACGTCAACATGAACTTGTGACAGAAGCGTCGCTCGTTCTCCCAGTGGTAGTACGGGTGTTTGTTTTACCTTAGCACTTGATCCTCCTTGTTTGACACATTTCGTTTTATTGTCACCCGTGCACAAAAGCAGCAACAAAAGAAAAGAAAACACAGCGAAAACAACAACAACAATGCAACTACCTTCGGTTGGGACCTCAGAAAGGAAGGGTTTGTTTTCTCAGAAAGGAATTGTTTGTTTTCTTCATCTCGATCAGTCCTGCCTAAGACGGCCACCTGTCTTATACGGCCACTTTTCTCCTTGACAATGGGTGGCCGTCTTACACAGGTTCGACTGTATTTTGTTTTCCTCAAAATACCCAAAAATGATGTCGTTTGTTTCTCCAGTGCCTTTCAAATACTTAGATCAGTTTTACACAAAAGAGCAGAAGCTCCCTATGATCGTGCCAGATGACTGAAATTAGGAAGTATTAAACTTGGAGCAATTGGAAAGACACATCATTTTAGAAAAATTTCAGTACACTACTGCTTCTCACCTCTCGTTTTTTCAATGAACAAAGCAATTTTGTGAAGTTCAGCCAACTCACACTGACATCGTTGATGCGAACCAGCATATCACCTGAAACCACAGAATGAGAAGAATGTATTATTTTAAAAGATAGACTTCTGAAAAATGACTATAATGACCAACAATGAGCTTTGCTGAGATGCCTTAAAATGTTAAAACAGAACAAGATTTGGTGTTTGTAATTACCAAAAAATAAATATTATTCAAGTCTTTACATCTTCAGGGCTAGAAATAGAAATATTTGCAGCTTTTCAAAAACAGAACTATGCCTTTCAATTCACATGCAATGGCAAAGAACAAATAATTTCACTAAGCACACAAATTCTAAATACAATTTGCATGCGCTACGGAAAAAAGTTTTACCTCTGTGAATTTTTCCAGAAGCGTGAGACTCCGAGCCTTCCAGAACTCCTTGAACCACCAACTTCCTATCCTTGGTCATATTACTCAAGCGACTTTTGCCATTGCTGTACTCAAATATAGTAATCCCAAAAAGCTTCTTACAAATTTCTACACCAGAGCTTTCGTTACCAGTTAAACTGCGGTAGTTTGGTTTAAAAGTGATTTGTTTGAATTGCCGGTCCCTGTCTGTCCTTGGCCGTGACATTGCATTTGTCTTGTTCTCCCCCTCGCCACGGGGTCTCTCCATGTGGACTGATAGTCTTTCCAGTCCATTGTCATGATCATTACTATCTTTCGTCTCTTGTCGAAGTTTCTGGTTTCTCTCAGTCAGAAGCTTCTGAATTTCTTTCGTCTTTTTGCGTAGCTCATTACTTGAGGCCAGTTGCTCCTCATCTTCATGGCAATGGAGCCAGTGATGAGCAGCATTCTCTCTGTCATCTGGAGATTGGCTCTGGAGCATTTTATAAATTTACATGTTATTTAATCTGATGTGGCAGCAGTCCTCTTCCCAGGCTAAATTCAAGAAGACAGAATCAAAATTCCAAATTCGTTTCACTTCCAGTCAACAAGTGCAGCACTGAAAATTCTTGTGGCAGGCTCTGGAAAAAAAGTAATGGTTTAATGAGAAAAAAAAAACCAGTGTGAAAATGAAACATCTGATGAGAGTATTAGGGAAGTAATTTTACAGCTTGTACAACAGCTACCCGAATATAAATGCACCCCACATGCTATAGAAAATTCCACCATACACAAGACATCACAAGTCACAATCTCTAATCAATGGTTGTTCGCTTTTATAAGAGACGGATCTGTAAAACTTAAAACCAATGGAAAGATAAATGGTGAGATAAATGGTGAGATAAATTTGTCCATTGAAAAGACCTTCATTGAACAAGTCATTACGATGAAAATTACATAACTTGAAAGTACTGAGACTGAACAAGCGCTCAGATTATACGCTTTGGCTCTGTCTAGCACGATGTGTGTGAGAAAGACAACACAACTAGTTTAGTATTATCAGTAACAAAGCTTGTGCTTGTCGTCAAACTACACATCAATAGAAAGAGAAATGAAGAGATGGTATTAAATAGACAAGACAAAAAGTAGTAACAAACATCATCATAATGATGTAAACAAGTGCAGAGTACTAAGACGTGTGTACCAAGTTGACGTGCCAGGTCTGACCATCTCACACAACGTGTGAAAGAAAAAGAACCCATCTCGCTTTGTTTTCGGATAGAACCTGCACTTTAAAGTCTACAAACAGATATGACCTCAGGAAACATCGGACCTCTAAAATCATTGTACTTCTAAATTTTTTCCTAAGAAATTCTCGTCGTGCATTAATTAATAACATGTCCAAAACGAAGTTTCGAATGTATCACGCAATTAAGTTACATTAGGTTTTGAGGAAACTTTTTAAAAACTTATTACTTTTATTGATTTCTTTAAAACTCTCTCCTTTTATTATTGGGTTGTTTTTTTTCCAAAGTTTATAATTAGATAAATCTGAAATCAAAGGAAATCTGAAACATTTACATCCTTGAGAGTGACTTCCTTTGGTATTTGCTTCAGAGCAGTGCATCCATTTGCTTTTTAATCATGTTTAGTGTGCCTGGTTGCGTTGGCGACTAAACCGGTCGAGAGCACAACTACAGCCTGACGACTAAAACTTAAGTCGTCGACGGTACTGTACTGTAGGCTAAGTGTTAAAAAATAGAACCTTTAATATCCTTGCCCTATAACACTACAACCCCCCCCCCCCATTTTACCACTAAGGCATAGAGCTGATGCCTTGACTGCCATCTCATTCAAGAAGTCCATGAGTCTGCCTGCAACGAACCAACGCAAAGTCTCCACAACAAAATCAGTGCCCACGCGGACAGGCAAGTCGAACTGGAGAAAGTATGCCCAGAACCTCGTAGCCGAAACTGAACTGGATACGTACCCACGTGAGGAGCTGGTTGTTTTACCCCCCACACAACCGTGGAAGGCTGCATCACACAACGTGACTTTTAGCACCGATCTTGTCGTCGACTGCAAGCGTGCTAATGAACCAGCAGTCAGGAAAGCATCAGCAGAGGTTACAATTCGTTCGTTCCCCCTGCCCGATGTAGAAGTCTGGACTGACGGTTCAGCTGAGCACGGTACTGAGTATGGAGGAAGTGGAATACTGATCAAGACCGGTGATACTGAACTCGACCAACGTGTACCTGCGGGCCGGTATTGTTCCAGCTACAGGGCCGAGCTTGTATCTCTTGACACAGCGCTTGACATGCTTGTGGCACTACATACAGCAGGCAGCCTTCCGAACACTGTACGCATCCATGTATACACTGATTCTAGGTCAGCAGTCATGCGCCTCTCATACGGCCCTACCAACCAATCGGAAAAGGTGGCCTGCTCGATCTGGCAACATCTGCACACCCTTTGTCAACGCTCTGAATGTTCCATCCACTTACAGTGGATTCCAGGCCACGCTGGACTGGCTGGGAACGAGGAAGCTGACAGCATCGCCAAAGAAGCAACAGCGCTTACCCAGATTGACACGCCAATCGATTTCTCGACAGCTAAGGTCGTCATCCACCGATCGACCCGTGCAAAGTGGAAAAGAGAGGCGAAACCCAAACTGCCGTTTGCCCAGCCACCGTTATACCAGCTTGAGGCCTCGCTCAGACGACAGGACCGCCGGCTTCTCTCCCAAATGAGAACTGGTGGAAAATCGCCCAAGCTGAGATCATATCTCCACAAAATTGCGCCAGCGGACAACCCAGATCCGTCCTGTCGAGCCTGCAAGGAGGAGGACAAAACTATGGACCATGTGTTCCTGAGATGTCCCGCCAGCTATCGTGCTAGAACCCGTCTGCTGGGACATTTCAGTAACCCACTTTCAGCACTTTTCAAGGACCCCCGGGCGAGTGTTGAGTTCCTGCGTTCTGTCGGCATCGCTGACCGTTTATGAAGCCACAGCGCCAGAAGAGAGAGAGAGAGAGAGAGAGAGAGAGAGAGAGAGAGAGAGAGAGGGGGGGGAGAGAAGAGAGTGAGTGAGTCTGCACGAATTACTATCTAGTTTTGGAAGGAGTTCCGTAGAGGGCCGGCCGACAAACAACACATAAAAGAGGGGATATAATTTTGCTCAGGGTTTTAATGGCAGATTCTACGACCACACGACTCAAATTTGTCCTCGACTGGAGCTGTCAAATGTGCTTTACTCTAAAAAGGGCGATTTTGTAGTTTCGTTTGTTAAAGTCAAGATCAGAGTAGGGGGGGTTTGAGGGGGGCTTGCTCCCCTGACCTAATAAAATATGGAGGTGGGGGGTTCAGGGGGGCATGCCCACCTGAATTTTATCCTAATCTGATGTTTTGCAGTTTAGGTTGCATCTTTGTGTAGCCTTTGCTGGTCGTCAAGATTTCTGGATTTCTTCTCTGGACGTAAACAAATGGGTCACGGACTTTAACGAACGGAACTACAAGATCACCCTAAAAAGGTAGCTCGCCTTGAATCGTCAAATACTAAAATGTAGGTCACCAACTGGACTCTATAATAAGTGCACCAACTCTTGTATAGCATTATTATTATAGTTTTCTCAGTGGACCTTGTCACGGTAAGTGCCGGCCTCTCAATTCTCGGCTCTGCCGAACTCTCCCCTTAGTTTTAGCGCACACGAAGTTAGAACTTTTAAAAGTCGAGTGATCATTTAGATCAGTGAAGCGTAGTGGGTGTTGTTAAATTTTAGTTGACTGCACTGTACTAGACTTCTACTAAAGTGACTGTAGGCCAGCACAAAAGTTGATAGAATTCAATTAGAATCTAGCAGTCTTGTCTTAGAAATCTAGAATCTAGAGTCAAGTACTTTTCATAATCAGAATATCAGATCTCTACCGACGACATGTCTAAGACAAGAGAAGATCTAATGGGGCTTAAAGACTCTAGGCTAGGCTGCTTGGTTGTTTTTTTTTTCAGAAAACGGCATTACTCACAAGAACTTCAATCACTGACCAAAATTAGAGTCTCTATGAACTGTAAGCTTCAACTTGTGTACCTGCAAAGACAGAGTTCAGAATTTATGTCGCCATCTTGTTTACATGATCAACTAATAAGTCAGATTTTTCCCTCGTCAGCTTGGCAATTTTTTAAAAGGGTAGTATGAAAAACATATTCACGAACGTCTTGAGAAGTAAGCTTTTTATTGTCTCTAATTTTGTTATATAATTAATATTTTCCTAATGTATTCCTACACTAAAAACAATTAAAAACCTGTATTTGTAGTCTTGTGATAACATAAACACGATAAACAAGTTAAACGGATTTGAAAGGTCTAAAGGTTTTTTTCTAACTGGCAAGTATATGTGATTTCCTTGACGAAATTTAGAGTTACCCCTCTTTGAGTGACATATCTGTTGCTAATCTAGTCTGAATTTTTCATGGGGCATCTTTCGAGCATTACAATGATTTTCGAAATAAAGCAACACTTATTGATATAGATCTATATTCTCTGGTGAGTAATCGTTATGATGTTAATTTAAGTGCCTGACTCTAAGGCGGTACCCCTAATTAACTCACCTGCCTTGGACCATGGGTAGCCACTTCTTGCCCATCATTTCTTTTTGTTGATGTTGTTACACCAGATACCATGTTGCGCACTCACTTGCATGATCCCAAGTCTTGGTATCATGATTTAGCATTTTGCGATCTAGATCTAGATTCTAGATCTATTTCTTTTCATGTTTTGAGATATGTGGTTTTGACACCAATAGTACTGAAACATTGGTTGTAACTTTTATGGGTTAGGGAAATATGGGGTGCCCACTACAGCTGGATTGGGCCGATTGCCCGAGTGGATCGCCTGAAACTGAAAACAAACAGGTTTGTTTTTGAGGCGATCGAGTCGGGCAACCGGCCCGATCGGCCGATCCCGTCCGTAGTGGGCACCCCGTATTACAATATAATTGAAATTGTTGGATTAAGTCAGAGAGGGTTTACAGTAATAGAGAGGTGACACTCGTGGCGGCGCTCCATAACAACGATGCATTGTTTCGCGTAGCGCCCGGTGCGGGCCGCGAAAACACTTACGCGCGGTGATTGCTGCCACGGCGATGCTCAGGCATGTTGTCATGTTTTGAGAAAAGGCTGATGTTAGGGGACCGTACGCCCCAATAGCTAGCAATGCCAATGCCAATGAAAATTTAAATTTTCACTTTAGCCCTTTTTTATTTGGTAATTTAGAAAGAATTTTCAATTCTAAGAATTATGCTTCTTGAATTTTAAGAATCGGTTCATAAATAAAAAAGATATGGGGTTGTAAAGGTCGGCAAAATATGGATGACCCACATATAGGAAAATACTCCTAAAAAGTGGACCACGCAGTAGGAGATTCTGTAAGAAAATCGACGATATCTTGGTAACTAATCGGAGAGTTAGAGAGAAACTTGGCTACCCGATGTGTTTTTGGGTGTAGAAATCATTTCTGCAGTCAGATTTACTACCCATTTCGTAGTTATTTTGTTATAATTAAAATTTTGGTGTACATATTACGATTTTGCGAAAAAGGGGTGTCGGGATGAGTCCATTTTATTTATAGCATCGTATCACAACATGGGATCTTTAAGAATATATGTCGGCAGCTTGACTAAATAATTGCAAAGCTTTTTATGATGACTTTAGACCATGCTAACCGTAAAAGATAAGTTAATTCAATCTAGCATGCCATACAATTAAAAATTCTTTTTCCCCGTTGAGACGCGAACACCCCGAGACGAGATAGCCTCGCCTCGGAATACCCCCATTACGATGTTACAGGGGAATAGAAAGAAAAACAACCGGATGCGCGTGCCCGCCATTGCCCTATTTCAAATGACCAATGAACGGGCGCAGAATAGTCATGCGGGGATTTGTAGGTCACATACTTTTGCCGCGAGAGTGAGGGGAAAATGGCCGGTCTCCGTGCAAAGCCGCTTTGGATAAGGGGGTAGTCGTGCATTTATGATCGGGTCTAAACAACTACTTGACACAGAACGTTCAAATTTGAGCACACTATAGAGGATAGATCTATTACCATCTCGGCGTTGAAATTCAAACTCCATATAGTTTTCGGTGTACACGATACGAAAGTGTTCCCGACACCAAAAGTATAGGTTAATTTATGTGTATGAACTTCAACGTCCACATATCATTAGTTTGCCCTATTTTCTGATTGGTTGCCGAGTTTCATTCGGATTGGTTCGGAAATAGAGCAGGCCGAGGTTGACAAAGTTAGTCACCTACGCTTCGGCCGGGTCCGCAAAATCGCCCGCAAACGGGGACCAACGCGGGAAAGCCCAATTGGCATTGCTACAATAGCGCTTGGCGCTAGGGGACCGTACGCCCCCATAGTGTTTGGCTCTAGGGGACCGTACGTCCTACCTGCGCTAAGGCGTGGTGTTACGGGACCGTACGCAGATATGCATGCATCTGGAGGAAAACGGTCAGTTTAACGAAGCTCCTGACGTAAGGAGTTATTACTACTAGGAGAATGTTTAAAATATCTGAATACAATTTTGCTATATAGTGGCCGTGGGTGAACCAGAATTTGAAATTTGCTCACGTCTGCACCCACGTTGTTGTTATGTGTCAATAAAAGAAATCAAAGAGAGAGCGAGAGAGAAAGAGTGTGTGTGTGTGTGTGTGTGTGTGTGTGTTTGTGTGAAAAACAGACAGAAAGGAAGTGAGAAAGAAAGTAAGAAGGAGCGGGAGAGAGAGAGGGAGACAAAGTGTGAGTATTTGTGTGTGTGTGTGTTAGAGAGAGAGAGATATAGATGGGGGGGGGGGGGGTGGTGAGAGAAAGAGAGAGATGAACAAATACACACAAAGGGAATGTTTTGGACAAAAATGAGTAGGAGAATAGTGTGTGTGTTCAGGTGCATTCTGCGGGCAGACGTGAGTACATTTTTAATCTTTGCGACCTAAAATAAATAGGCCCCTAAAGGTAGCAATCCATGTGTGTGGGGCGGCAGCGGCACAGCAGCGGGAAGATATGTGCGGTACCGCAAGTCACATTAAATCCATATGTGCGGCAGCGGGACGAAATGTGTGCGATATAGCAAGTGGCAAATTCAATTGGGGAAGGCATGTTGGCACCTTTTTTGTTTTGAGCAGCATGGCACCTACCCAGTGAAAACTGTCTAGGTTAATGAAACAAGAACGAATACTGCTGATGATTTGGCTCCTGGTTAATAAGAAGAAAGAACGTAAAAGACATAGAAGGCAGCATCGATTATGGGTGCATGAACTTCTGAAAGAGCGAAAGTCAAAAGACGGGCATATCAAGAAAATGGGTGGATGAACGATGACATAGGGGTGCAATGGTTTCAGCAAGTTTTCCGTGTCAAATGAATTGACTGCATCACACAGAGATTCTTCACAGTCAACCCTATTCCGCCACATTTATATTTTTGTCTGCGGCAGAGCTGCGGCAGCGGCAGAATCGCTCCTGGGTGCGATTTTTATCGTCCCGCTGCCGTACCGCACTTATGGATTCTGACATTGATATTTCTGTTGGAGCAATTTTTATCGTCCCGCTGCTGCTGCCGTCCTGCACATATGGATTATCACCTTAAGCCCCATTTAATGACGCTCGTAAACGCCGGAAATTTACTCACTTTTGCATGACAGAACACACCTGAGCACGCACTCAGTCTTAAAAGCGCGCAATACGCAAGATCAACTCACATTCAGTGACAATAACAATAACATGAAAAGAAAGGAAAAAGAAGACAGCTTGGAAAAGGTAGATGAAAAGCAAAGCAAACTATTGTAGAGACTTGACAGAACGTCGGATTGTGAACTAAGCACGGACGAATTAAAGTTTATTTGAAAGCGCATTACGTATAATATTATTTGCTTGTCCACATTAATAATAAAACAACATTAGTATAACTGGACTATTTTTGCGCGCAGATGTCGTGTTACTATAGTGTGGTCAAAAATTCGAGGCGCAACTTTTCCTCAAATATCTCTTTAAAGGGAGAATCAATGTCACCCATACTTTGCACAGCAGTTTGTATAAAAAATGTCTTAACTGAATCATATTTGTCCATAACAATTGAGGCTCGATCAAAAAAATGTTCTTCATAAATTTATATAAAATACTAGGCCTATAAATCTCCATCACGTGAAAAATGTGATTGTTCATAGCACTTCCCGCTTCTCGCACACATTTTGCATACCCATATGGCCTACGTCATAGCTCGCCAATGACACTTTTTAGTGGCAAAACTTCATACAAAAATGTTTTTATAATGAACACATTCTTTTTACACTAAAGGTTTCCTGAACATACGTTCAATAAGCATGCATGCTATTACGATTGGGAAAAAATGACAGACTTGCTTTTAAAAGCGATATTGCCAGAGCTGTAAAATTTTTAACAATCAACTGGGATTTTTTATTAGTACTTATTAGGGAATTTTCTAGAATACAGTGTGCAGGAGTTAGAAAAAATATTCACCTGTTAAGACAAATTGATATAAGTCACTGTGCAAAAGTTGGAGAATCTGTGTTTGATAAGTAAGGAGATATTTCCCAATAAGTGGCGCTGTGCATTTTTGACCGCACTATAGGTGTAAGTTGGTATACTATGAATTTAATCTGTACTCTTAACTCATATTCCACGCAAGGCGTTACATGATTAATGATCTCTTCTCAATCTAATAGCATAATTATACCCTGCCGACCCCATCGTTCGCTCCCACATTCCCTTCGCCAACTATTTCTACCCCCTCTCTCTCTCTCTCCCTCTCTCTCTCTCTCTCTCTCTTTCTCTCTCTCCCTCTTTCTCTCTCTCCCTCCCTCTCTCACTCTCTCTTTCTCCCCCTTCTCTCTCAGTCTCTCTCTCTCTCTCTCTCTCTCTCTCTCTCTCTCTCTCTCTCTTTGATTTCTTTTATTGACACATAACAACAACATGGGTGCAGACGTGAGCAAATTTCAAATTCTGGTTCACCCACGGCCACTGGATAGCTCACAATCGTATTCAGATATTTTAAACATTCTCCTGTCCTAGTAATAACTCCTTACGTCAGGAGCTTCGTTAAACTGGCCGTTTTCCTCCAGTATTTTGGCAAAGTCCAGATGCATGCATATCTGCCTATGGTCCCGTAACACCACGCCTTGGCGCAGGTAGGACGTACGGTCCCCTAGCGCCAAACACTATGGGGGCGTACGGTCCCCTAGCGCCAAGCGCTATTGGGGCGTACGGTCCCCTAACAATAGCCCATGAGAAAATGTAGTACCGTCTGTAGTTAGTTCACTAGGTTACTAGGCCTTTAAAGAAAGGAGGCCTGTGAATTCTATTGCATATTTTAAGAAACTCCCCTGCCTCCCGCGGCCATAAACTGTAAGACTTGTTTTTGGCTTAAGTTAACATACCTTCTTATAAATAAATAGACGCAGATACATTTCTGCGTCTCTATAGATCTGAAAAAATAATACCCCCATAATTAAAGGAATAATCGTTTTAACTTT